GCCAACAGCAGCCTTTCCCAAATGGAATTCTGATTTTATAAGATGTTTATTAGATGAGGCTCAAAAAGGAGTATGGTGGTGATATAAGTTTGTGAAATGCTGGACTAAATGGGCTTCTCGGAGACACAGCATAGCCTTGCATAAGCAAATCTGTACGGTGAGATCTTCAAAATTGGGTTTATAGTATTTACTGTCTCTGAAACTTATATAAACATGACTTTTTTTTTCTGGAGCATTCTGGAAATTCTAGAATATCCATACACTCTTTCATTCAACAAATATGTGTTGAGTAGCTGTAACCGTGGCAGACATTGTTCTTGGCACTGAAGATGCAGAAATAAACAAGATAATGTTCTTTTCCAAATGGAGTTTATATTCAAGTGGGATGGCAGCAAGTAAACAAATAAAACTGGGACTATGAAGCAGTATAAAAAGGGCTATGAAAATAAAGCAGGGAAAAGAGACAGAAAATGGTGGCATGTGGGCTTGAGGTGGTGGCTATTTTAGGTCAGTAGTCAGAGAAGGCTCCCTGCAGAGTGATATTTGAGTAGAGACCATGAGTGAATGGCAGTGGCCATGTGAAGATCTAGGGGAAGAGTATTCCCAACACAGGTGACAAGTAGAAAGACACAGGGCAGGAGGGAGCTTGGGGAGTTCCAGAAACATCAAGAAAACCAGAGTGTTGAAGGTAGAATGAGCAAGATGGGAGGAGGGGCAAAAGACCAGGAGGGGTAAGAGACCTCTACCTTTATTTTTTTTAAAGATTTTATTTATTTATTTGACAGAGAGATAGAGCGCACAAGTAGGCAGAGTGGCAGGCAGAGGGAGAGAGAGAAACAGACTCTCTGCTGAGCAGGGAGCCCGATGCTGGGCTCAATCCCAGGACCCTGAGGCAAAGGCAGATGCTTAACCGACTGAGCCACCCAGGTGCCCCGAGACCTCTCCCTTTAGTAGAGGTAGGCAGGAGCCCATCATGAAGGGCCAGGTCATGGGAATGTTCAGGGAAGAGGTGAGCAGATGCAGACTGTGAGTTAGAGGGCAAGTTCCTTACATTCCTCTTTTCCCTCTAACTCCTTCACTGAATCTTATCTCTCCATCCCTTAAATAGTGACACTCGAGATCTTGTCCCCAACTTGTTTCCCTGGTATTACTCACTCCTTTGGTGATTGTGGTGGACATGACTAGTGTGCACACGATCTGGTTCTCATCTTTTCTGGGCACCCCTTTCAGTGGGCAGGGCCATGTGACTGCTTGTGACCAACAGCCTGTGAGCAGCAGTGATGAGTTCACTTTCAGCCTGCAGCATTGGATTCGCAGGGCCTCACCGCCAACTTTCTCTATTCCCCTGGCAGTCCTGGTTAAGAAGTTCCCAGGTTCCAGATGGTGCAACTATAAGATGATGAAGCCTCTGAAAGCCTGGGATGTCAAGTTGTCACGTTAGTGCCCCGGAGAGTCACCTAACACAAAAAATCTTGGCATAAGAAAACTTTCTTTTTGTTAAATCACTGAGATTTTAGGGTTATCCCACCATAACTAACCTAACTGAATGGTACACTGATATAACGGAGTGGTTCTCAAAATTTTGAGCCTTAGGATTCCTTTTACTCATAAAGATTATTAACGACCCCAAAGAGCTTTTGTTTGTGAGGGTCATATCTATAGTGACATATCATTTTGGAAATTGTAACAGAGAAATTTAAAATATTTATTTATTAGCTCATTTAAAAATAACAAACCGGGGCACTGGGGTGGCACAGTCGGTTTAGTGTCCAACTCTTGGTTTTGGCTCAGGTCGTGATCTCAGGGTTGTGAGATCGAGCCCTGTGTCGGGCTCTGGGCTCAACAAGGAGTCTGCTTGAGATTCTCTCTCCCTCTCCCTCTGACCCTCCCACTCGTGCTCGTTCTCAAATAAATAATAAAGAAATCTTTTAAAAAACTAAAATATGTCATTTGGAAATATCTTCTCCCATTCTGTTGGTTGTCTTTTGGTTTTGTTGACTGTTTCTTTTGCTGTGCAAAAGCTTTTTATCTTGATGAGGTCCCAATAGTTCATTTTTGCCCTTGCTTCCCTTGCCTTTGGTGATGTTTCTAGGAAGAAGTTGCTGCGGCTGAGGTCGAAGAGGTTGCTGCCTGTGTTCTCCTCTAGGATTTTGATGGATTCCTATCACATTTAGGTCTTTCAACTATTTTGAGTCTATTTTTGTGTGTGGTATGACCTCACTGATATGAGGAATTCTTAATCTCAGGAAACAAACTGAGGGTTGCTGGAGTGGTGGGAGGTGGGAGGGATGGGGTGGCTGGGTGATAGACACTGGGGAGGGTATGTGCTCTGGTAAGCGCTGTGAATTGTGCATGACTGTTGAATCACAGATCTGTACCTCTGAAACAAATAATGCAATATATGTTAAGAAAAAAAAAAAGAAGAAGATAGCAGGAGGGGAAGAATGAAGGGGGGAAAATCGGAGGGAAATTGAACCATGAGAGACGATGGACTCTGAAAAACAAACTGAGGGCTCTAGAGGGGAGGGGGGTGGGAGGATGGGTTAGCCTGGTGGTGGGTATTAAAGAGGGCACGTTTTGCATGGAGCACTGGGTGTTACACACAAACGAATCATGGAACACTACATCTAAAACTAATGATGTAATGTATGGTGATTAACATAACAATTAAAAATTTTTAAAAATAATGAAAAATAATAAAATAAACAAAAAATGTATTTTATGAAAAACAACTAGTTTTTTTTTAACTTAGTGAGATGAGTGGCATTGTTCTATTTTCTTATAAATCTTTCTAATGCCTCTCTTAATAGAAGATAGCTGGATTCATGGATCTACTCTCATATGTTGTTTTGCTTAAAGTATATAGAGAAAAGTAGGCCTTACACAGATATGTACTTGGGAAAGGAAGAGTATTTTAATAGGCTTTTCAGATAATTATGGATATTATTTTTGATATGTCACTGAAGTTAGAAAAATGGTAGCTTCTGAAAGGTTATTTACAATATGTAGTCTGAAACTAAATTAATGAACCATACAGACAGGCTCTGTTACATTAAATTCCATTGGTCTATCTTTTGCTTTGAATGGATTTTACCCATCCCTGATTTTGTAACACACACTGGTCATTTGGAAAATATTGGCTTGCTCACTTCTGCAGCTCTTCCAAATGTCGACACACTTCATTATATTATATTACCATGATAACAGTTTTGAAAGCTTTGGGAAGCTATCAAGCTCACAAGTGACAAATACAGATTTTCCAAAATTCTAATTTTTGCTTGAAAGCTCAAGTTTTACAATTACAACAAATACTGTTGGTTGTTTTCCTTAAAAAACAGGCTCGCTTTGTACTTTTTTGAGGAAACATCTGCCAAATACTCAAATTTGAATAACCATAGCATATCTGCTATTCTAATCATTCTTTCAAGTAAAAATTGTGTTCTATGAAAAAATCTACTAATTCAGCTTGTAACTCCCTCATACAAAGGCTTTTCCTCAAGATTGAGAATATATTTCAATATGCAGCAAGACGGGATATTTAGATTATAATCCAGCATTCCCTTCTCTGACTAGTCCCATTTTACCCATTGTTATTTGGCTAATTGCCTCATTGCCTTTGTAAACTCTGTGACTATAGACCCCATGTCTTTTTCTCCCTTGAACCCCCATAGTATGCAGTAGTCATTGTTACTAAATGAATAAATATCCAGCTTCCCAAATAGACTGTAAGCACATGGAAACAGGGATTCTATGCCGTTCTGTGCTAGACAGGGTCTTGGGCACAACAAAGCACAACTGTGGTTGCTTATGATAATAAAGGTTGCATACATTGTATTAGGATAGCCAGTCATAATGTCAGCAGCAATTCATCTTTATCCCTTTTCTCTTAGTATCTATTGTAGAGGAGCTTCGTAAGTATGGTTTACAGATTGGCAGGAGGAAAATACATACATAGACACAGACACACCACACACCCCATTATAGATTCCTACTCAAGAAAGAGAACTTAATAGGAACAAGGTGGTCTCAACAGAGCAGGGTTGGATGCAGCATGTCAGTGTGTGGTTTCTCCCACCACGGGGTGTGTTGGTGACACTGAACTCTGCACACAATTAATTGGAAGAAAGTCACTGTCTATTTATTCCCAGCTTTATGTCACCATTCTTGGAAAATTATGCTCGCAATCTATTTGCTTTCAATGACATGAAATGAATGTTTACAACCACTAGGGATCTTCCAGTTCTAGAAACCAACAGTACTGACAAGGCCATCCTCAACCTGGGGCAAAAACAGAAGCAGGGTCTGGGTGTCACTGAAAAATCTTCATGTCTCAGCTTCCCAAGGTCCCAGAACCAGCCCCCCAACTCCAACAAGAAGTCAACAAAAAACATTTGCTTTCAGAATTAAGCACATTGGTAAGAAATGTCTGTGTACAATTTTTGGCTGAGATATAGTTTAAATTCTGTGAACACCCATGATAGGGAGAGTTGGCTCCTATACGCGGTTTAGGATGGCAATTACTTTAAGAATCAAGTTTTTGTTAACATTGCTCTTGTACCCACTGACAAGCTAATGTCATCAGTTTTCCTCTCTTTTATAAGTCTCAGATTTAAATATGGTCCAATTCCAAGTGGCAAATGCTCACTACACTCTAGTCAATTAAGTCATACATTTATATATTATACTGAAAAGTGTCTTCGGGATGATTATGGAAGCCACATCAGACTATATTTAAAAACAGCTACCATGAGGGGTGCCTGGGTGGCTCAGTCAGTTGAGCATCTGACTATTGATTTCAGCTCAGGTCATGATCTCAGGGTTGTGAGAATGAGCCTGACATTGGGCTCCACACTGGGTGTGGAGCCTGCTTGAGATTCTCTCTCTCCTCTCCCTCAGCCCCCCTCCCCACTCTAAAAAAAAGTTACCATGAGCTATCACATTATTGCCAAGAAGAATATTCTGATTAAATGCTTTTTTCTTTCTGAAAGACTAGTGTCACCTTTTGCATTCTCTTTTTATAGCAGCTTTATTAAAACACATAATCCACAAACCATAAAATTCACACTTTGAAAGTGTACAAGTCAGTGGATTTTAGTGTATTTACAGAGTTGTGCAACAATCGCCACTAATTATAGAACATTTTTAACAATCCTAAGGAGACCCTGTACCCATTAGCAGTCACCTCCTGTCCCTGCCTCCTCCAGCCCCTGGCAACCACTAATCTACTTTCTCTGGATTTGCCTATTTTGGATACTTCATATAAATTAGTTCATATAATATGTGGCCTTTTGCAGCTGGCTTCTTTCACTTAGCACAACCTTTTCAAGGTTTATCCATGTTATAGCATGTATCAATCCTTCAGTTCTTTTTCATTGCCAAAAATATTCCATTGTAGGGATATGCCACATTTTGTTTATCCATTCATCAACCGATAGGCATTTAGATGTTTCCACTTTTTGACTATTATACCAATTTTATTTATATTTATTTATTTTTTAAGTAGGCTCCAGGCCCAGCGTGGAGCCCAACACAGGGCTCGAACTCACAACCCTGAGATCAAGACCTGAGCTGAGATCAAGAGGCAGACACCTAACCAACTGAGCCACCCAGGCTCCTATACTTTTGGACTGTTATAAATAATGCCTCTATGGACACTGTGTACAAGTTTTTGTGTGAACACATTTTCAAGTGTTTTGGGGATATATCTATGAGTGGATTAAAAAACCCTTTAAGGGGCGCCTGGTGGCTCAGTCGTTAAGCGTCTGCCTTCGGCTCAGGTCATGATCCCAGGGTCCTGGGATCGAGCCCCGCATCGGGCTCCCTGCTCCGCGGGAAGCCTGCTTCTCCCTGCTTGTGTTCCCCTCTCTCGCTGTGTCTCCCTCTGTCAAATAAATAAATAAAATCTTAAAAAAAAACAACCCTTTAAGGATTAAGTCAGTGCAGGGATGAAAATGAGTTCAAAGATTTTTTTCATACGTCTGTCAAGCCCCCAAGACTAAAGGGACATTACAAGGGGCAAATCAGTTCCTAAATAACAGAGGCAAAGTCAGAATAATAGGTAATAATAGTCTAAAGAAATATTTATCTTGTCCTGGCCAGTTTAAGTTAATTTTAGTATTACATAATTAACTTTGAAAGACATTAAAAAACACTAAGAGAACAATTATAAAGCTGTCTTGCTCTTTTAAATTATAAATTCCTAGGTTCTCTTAGAATAGAAAATATTAGTGTTAGATGAATATTAGGACACTTTTGGTTTAGCGATTTATGATTTCAATATTGTGCCTATTGTGGTGTTCCCATACCCAACTGCTATTAAAGATTCGAAACTGGATTTCAAAAATTCTAAGTCACCTAAAATGAAGAGTATTACAGGGCCTGAGTAGTTTGAGAACAGAGATATACTTCATAAAACTGGAGAATAAAGGGTTTCTTCTTGAAATCTTGAATACTAGCAGACAGCTTGCTGCCTTCATCTGGGGACAAAAGAACCTAATGTCATCTGAGAAAACGATGGTCAAAAATCACTTCTAGATCTTTTCATGTAAAGAAGGAACATTGAGAGTTAAAATAACCATGCAGGACTTTAGTTTGAAAAAGAAACTGTCAAATCCTTTGACTTTTTCTACTTTTAAATTCAGACATAGAGTAAATTACAGATGTGGGGCACGAAATAACATTGCCTGCAGGGTGGACATTTCTACGGTCTAGTTGAATATATTTTCAATATCCATTTGATACTCATTTCCCCGAGTTTCAAAGAACAAAAGTAGTAAATGAAATTGTAAAGCTCATACCCTGGGTACTAGAAAAATAATAGCCATTATATGATGGCTGTCACTCTCTAAAGCCTGGTTCTGCTTGAAGAATTACTTCAATAGCAATAAAAGACGCATGCGCTCCCACCCATGATGTAATTTTCCTGGTTCTGCTTGCCTCGTATTCTATAAAGATAGAATCTTTGGAAAAAAGAAACAAGGTCAAAGTATTGTGTGACCCATGGCTTTTACTTTTTATTACTAACACACAAAGTACATGAAAAATATCAATTATTTCTCTTTAACTCTCTGTCTGCTTCCTATTTCCAGATGCTTTAAATAGGATAGAAAAAGCAAGGCAACAAAACAAATTCCACCCACTGCATCGAAGGTTGATATATCAATGTTTCATCTGCACAGTCAACAGCAAAGTCATAACTATCAAAAGAAGGAAAACAATTATCGCTTAAGTGCCTCCTTAGTACCTGAATTTTTTCCATACAGAATAACTGTGAGCCATATATTATCTCAGAAAAAAGTTACTTTCTCCTTTTCATAAACTTTTTTGCTTCTTGCAAAAGCTCTTCCACATCTTCCTTCTCTTGGTCTTCCTGTCCTGGTTCCCAGTCAGAATCTTCATCTGTTGGCTCATATTCTTCCTCCTCATCATCTAGAAAGCTGTCATTGAGGTCGTACTCATTGGGTTGCCCAACATTATCACTGTCTTCATCTGATACGCTTCTCACTGAAAAAAAAAAAAAAGAATTTGGCAGCCAACATATCAGTCGCCACTCAAACCCAGGAGTAGAGATATCTAACTGTAAAATGTCTTTCTCTGACAAGAAGAATTAATTTTACTTAAGACATCACTAACCACCACAAATTTCTAGAAAGGGGGCTAAAATTACTCTTTGTTAGACTTCTAACTTTTCCTACCATGAGGCTCCTGAAACTAAAATGTCCTGTGAGAATCCTAATAATGGTTCCTTAATAATATCATAATCATATTCACGCTACCTTACCCTCAGGGTGGTAGAATATAGTTTTGTCCCAGGTACTTACTGTCCCTCCCTGTGACATGATTAATTTAACCAACCCCACTGACATCACACTTGGTCAAAGAAAAGTGGATGGAAATAGTTTGTGCAACTTTCAACGGGAAGCTTTAAGTGCCTTTCTGTGGTTCTGCTGCTGTCCTTTTCCCTCTGCCACCATCTCCCTCAGGTCCCATCCCAGCTCAGGGATGATCCTTCAGCCTGGATTCCAGGATGAGAACCCACATCGGACAAGGCCACAGCTAACATGCAGCCGAAACATGAGGGAGAAATACACCTATTTATTGCTGTGAGGCACTGAAATCTGGGGACAGTTTGTGGTCACAGGAGAATTGGCACAATCTGATTAACACACCATGTTTGTGATCAAATGAGAAAATATGAGTCTATACACTTTGGAACGTTTGGTTTTATAGATCTTACAGTTCATATTTCAGGGACTGTGATTACTGAAAATATCAGGATTGCTATGGTAACAGCCATTAAAATTTATAGATTTCTAAATAATAGTACAGAATTTATAGATTTCTAAGTAATATTATAAAACTAGAATTATAATACTAGAATTCTTCGGTCTCCAAATCCACTTCTTCCCTCATCCCACTCTGTTTTATTTACTTTCCATTGCAAGCAACAGGCATGTTTTAAAATAAGCAGCGAGAGACTCTAGGATGATGTGGAACATTTAAGGAACAAGTAGGAAGATTCTATCTGGAAATCTCTGAATGGCAGGGGACAATCCCTATGATCAACACCACATATACGGGTTAAAAAATTACTGTTTGTACTCTTGTATATGCTTTACTTAACTTCTTCCTAAAATGTTCACATGCAATAGATAGATGTAACTTAAATGAAACTCAAGAAATTTGAGGAGGAAGAAATGATGACAAAAAAAAAAAAAGGTAATTTATCTGCCCTCTTAACTCTCACAGCCCAGACATTTACATTTTTCTTAATATCACCATTCATTTCCAGAGAGGATTTGAGACAGCTTATAATAATGAGGTCACAAAAAAATACAAATAAAAGTAGAAACTAAGAACATAAAAACCAGAATGTAAACATGTCAACCTTCATTTTTAACATAATTATTAGAAACTGAGCATCAGGTTTCTCCCTGAGTTTCTCCGCAGCCAAGGCTAAAAAGGCTACATAATGATTTGCACAGTTCTCATTAGCATAAGAAGCACACCAGTGCCTTAAGGGAAATCTAGCATTGTATTTATTTGTAAACATTTCTTATCTCCTGTACACATCCTGAGGGCATGTTTTATGTCTAGCTAATCTCAATTTCCCATAAAACTTTTATGATGGGAAACAGTTAAAAAACATTTCGAGCGTAGTTTTGCAGATGGCGAAGGAGGGAGGAGGAAAGACCGTCAACGTCTCTGTTCTTGGCCATTTGGCTTTGGAAGTATCTCATATATATAACTAGTGACATCTCAGTAACGCGTCTCCTCTCAGATTCAGAAATTAACCTAGCAGATTTACAAGAAAAACATATACAGAGGCTCCTAGGTGGCTCAGTCGTTAAGCGTCTGCCTTTGGCTCAGGTCATGATCTCAGGGTCCTGGGATCGAGCCCCGCATCGGGCTCCCTGCTCAGCGGGAAGCCTGCTTCTCCCTCTCCCACTCCCCCTGCTTGTGTCCCCTCTCTCGCTGTGTCTCTCTCTGTCAAATAAATAAATAAAATCTTTAAAAAGAAAAACATATATAAAGCTGAAACACCTTCAGGTTCTCCTCCTGCTTTATTTGGCTGTTCCTTCTCAGGCTCCTTTGCTGGCTCTTCCTCAGATCTTCCCAGTCTCTAAATGTTGGAATATTCAAGTTTCTGGCTGGGATCTCTTCTCTAACACACTCCAGTCTTAAATCCTAAGTTCCCAAATGTATATCCTAAGCCCTGACCACCATCTGAATTCCAGACTCCTTTATCTCACTGCCTATGGGTTCTCTCTACTTGCATAATGAACAGGCATCTTGAAACATCATATTCCCAGAACACAACTCTTGAGGTGCTTCACCCAAATCTAGTCATTCTTTTATCAGTCTTGAGTATATGACTTCTCCAACCTTCCAAGAAACCTTGGAGTCATCCTTGAATATCCTCCACTGAAAACCCAATATCCAATGTGTCAAGAGATCCTATTGGCTCTGCCATCAAAAACTATCTGCCACTTTTCACTACATCTACTCCATTCTCTGGTCCCCATACCATCATCTTCTTTTTTCAGTCAATTCCAATGTTCACCCAACTGGTTTCTCGCTTCCACTCTTATTTATTCTCCACTGAGAAGCCAGAAAACCTTCCAATATCTTTTTTTTCTTTTGTTGTTGTTTTTTTTTTTTTTTTAATTTAAGATTATTTATTTATTTATTTGAGAGCAAGAGAGCACAGGCAGGGAGGGTCAGAGGGAGAAGCAGACTCCCCGCCGAGGCAAGGAGCCCTGAAGGGGGTTCGATCCCCAGACTCCAGGATCATGACCTGAGCCGAAGGCAGTTGCTTAACCAACTGAGCCACCCAGGTGCCCGTCCAATACCTTTCTATCTCACTCTGGATTAAATCTGAAGTCCTGACTTGGAGGTCCTGGCCTCTAAGACCCTACACAACTAGCTCACTGCTAGCTTTTCTGATCCCATCTGCCACTCCTTCCTTATTCTCTTTGTTTCATACCCTTTTTCTACTGCTCCTTGAATAGGACAAGCAGGATCATCTCCAGGGCTTTTGGAGGCACCATTCCCCTTGCCTGGCATATTCTTCCCTCAGATAATCACCTGTCTTGCTCTCTCCTTCAAGCCTCTGCTCTAATGTCAAATTATCAGAGTCCTTTCACCATCCTATCTGAAGTGGCACCTGTCCCCCACCACACACAACATTGCCATTCTGTCCTCTTACACAACTTTTTCTTCTCAGCAGTTATCACTATATGATGTCATATAGTTGTTTACACTGTCCACCTTTGTAAAATTCTACAAGGGCAAGGCTTTGCCTCTATTGTATCCTCAGCTCCTACAACAATGTCTAACACATGGAAGACATTTAATATATATATTTGTTAAATATATGACTGGATGAACAAATGAACAATTTGCAAATCAACTGCTGAACACCTTTAGTTTTACAGAAACCCTTATTATAACCTACACTTTTTATCACTAGCCTGTCAATACAATGAATTACATTAAAGACTTTTATCTAAGTCCTGCTAATTGAAGGGGCTTGAAGCTTCAATGAACCCTGGAAAGCTTTAGCAACTTACTGGGCAGGCTAATTTCTTGAGCAATAAGGTCATGTTATTCCTCAAAAAATTGTTTGTATCTATCAAATCTTCATTTATATAAACATCACATTCATATTCTTTTAAATAGGAGGTTCAGAATCTAAGAAAAAAAAAAAAACACCCATAACAGAACTCCATGTAGCTGGTAGTCAAATTTCATCCATTGTACTTCACATGAACAGGCATTTCGTGCTTAAGTAAAAGCACCTGAAGAGCCAGCTCATGACAAAGGCAAAGTCAGCTCTATGTCCTGCGTTAGCAGCGCCAGGTGGACACTTCTTAACAGAGTACTGAACGCTGACATGTGATTATTGTCTGGAATCAATTACAATGGATCCTCTTTAGCAAATTCAATCAGTGACTTTAAATATCCCACAGTGTAAATGACAGCTAGATGGAAGCTTACCTTTTTTTTTTAATTGCTGAAGGTGTTTTTAGAAAAATAACAGTTTCTGCCTTTCAGTGTAACTAGGCTATGCAGATAGTGAAACGTGACTTACTTGGAAAATGCTTTGAATAAGCACACTTGTTGATCTGAATTATTACATGACTTCCTGAATCATGGGAATAAACTCAGGACGCAGGGTTCTGAACTAAATATGGCTAGCACCTAACCTAGGAATAAAATGCCTGTTTTTAGCATACAATTTTTTATTTTTAAGATTTATTTGACACACAGAGAGAGAGTGCACAAGCAAGGGAAGGGGCAGAGGGTAGAGAGAGAAGCAGACTTCCCGCCGAGCAGGGAGCCCTATGCGGGGCTCGATCCCAGGACCCTGGGATCATGACCTGAGCCAAAGGCAGACGCTTAACCAACTGCCCCACCCAGGCGCCCCTACAATTAAGTTTTTATGCAAAAGGGATATAAGCAAAAGCAAAAAAAAAAAAAAAAAAAAGCCCATGCATGTATTCTCTAACTGGGCAAGCTGAAACATATAGTATGGTATCTGAATAGCTGGATTTAAAGTGATAAAACTAATAAAGTTCACATAAACCTTGCTAGTAGCACTGTTTGCTATATAAAAATTTCAAAGAAAGCTCATACAAGGAAGCTTGCTGGTTAGAGAACCAGGTAACATACATGAGGAATCCCATCATGGATGATCCCAAGCCAAGACTCCAGTATTGTACAGATAATGTCATGATTGGTGAAAAGCTTATTAAAGTACAAAAATAGTAACAGGAGACACAGCCAGGAACTGTTTAATTTTCTTTACTCAATAACAAAACATAATTTTTAGTGTTATTTTTTGTAGATTTCCACAGAATTAAATAGCATAATTGCATTTCTGAAAAAAATAAGTGCTTACACATAACATTTTCTTAAATAATGACTAGCTGATTTGAAATATAATTTTTTTTAAGAGGGAGAGAGAGAGAGTGTGTGTGCAAGGCTGGGGGGAGAAGTGG